GCAATTCAGCCCATAATGATGTTTAATTATTAAAATAGGTTTCTTCCCTTGAAAATGGCCTAAGGGTTGAAACGATAATGTAAATAACAAATGAAGTAAGGCTGGTGTATGTAATAATACTAAATGGTATCAAATTTGTAGTTTTATTATTTTTATTAAGGTGAAGTTCTAACCTACTAGTTTTAATACATATATATATAACCATAAATATTATACAGAAATATAAAGCATATTATATGGATATAGGATATTTAAATTATACTGAAAACCTTTATGTAAAAATAAATATTTTAAATAAAGCCATTGGTATTTGATTTACTATTATTAATTTTGTGTTGTACGAACAAGAAATAAACATTATAATGAATAAATAATGGAGTTAAAAAGTAGATAGTTTAGAAAATGAGCGTTTATATGAATCATTATTCTTCCTGATTCTTTTATTTATTAATTTTTTGTTAATTCATTTTTTACTTGAATAGTATTCAACAAATATGGTTTTTTAAGCATTGTAACTCATTAGATATTGCAGTATTATGTAATGTATCAATATGCAGTGCAACATCAGTAATTATTCCAGGAGATTGTTCAAATAGCTCAAAAGTTCGGTAAAATTATTTACAATAAAAGATTGTCACACTTGATAACATTGACATTGCACTTAAACAAACATATTTTCTTCATGAATTTATTTTAAAGACTTTGGTTTTGAATTTTGATCCTCCTTACTGCTTCTCTGGGAAGTAAAAAAACGATTTGTTGCTGTACCATATTGCTTCCTCACTACCGAAGTTAGGGAAGCATTGTATTCGTGCGAGAGGTTAAAAAAAAATTTGTGCTTAAACGTTACTGGAATGACTGCCGTTACTTCATGTAATTCAAAGTAATTTTTACTCTGAGTTTGTAAAAAAAAAAGTCTTATTTGTGATTGTGTTTATTTCCATTGAAGTTCAACCAGTTCGTCGTGGTCTCGACTTTCTTCTTAAATATCCAAAATGTGTCAACTTCACTCATATTTTTATATTCCAGCTTAATTAGTTTCGTTCAGACTGAGGAAAAGTATTGGTCTCGTTAACTCCAAACAAACAAAAAGTTGAATTTACTCTATGGAGTTTCGTTCCATACGTTTAACGAATAAAAACATACCTATTAAGTATATATCACTACTGTTAGTGCAAAGGTCGTATGTAAAAGTTATTAATTTTTATTCTTTTTTTTGGCATTACGTAGTCTGCAATTGATATAAGTAGTCTACTACTATTGAAAATAAAATATAAAATTATACTAATCATAAAGATATAATTAGTTTTTATGCTAACACTCATTTTAACAAATCATTGCACATAACAGTAGCGAGATACATATTCAGTATGCAGTGAAATATTTTTTTAATTACGAATTATCAAATAAGCAATCTGTAAATGCGGAACTTTTTCGCTTTTAGTATTTACTCATAAACAAAACTCGAGGATATGTTGAGGGATTACTGAATTTCCGAAAACCGCTTTTTCCAGAGATTTCATTCTCATAAGAAAATATAGATATTTTTTTAGCAAATGAAAACGATGAGGAAGCTATACTGACCTTACTTGGCAGACTTTTTTTTTTTCTGTTTTCCATCGAACTGTGACAAGGCGTCTTAATTATTATTATTTTATTTATTTTTTGAGAGTTTCGGGTTCCGATATATTCGGACTACCAAAGTTAGGATTATTGTGATCGCATTGTACAAGCCTCTTGCAAACATCGGTAAGGTAAAATAAAACATTATATCTAAAATTCAATCCATGATATTGATTATTATAAATAGCTTTTAACCCTGAAAGCTGGCCTCTGCCACATTTTCCCCTATATAGAACAAACGGGTTCATTGAACAAGAAGATGATATTTTGTATGAAGCGAGCGTGTGGCCTGCTTCGATGACCCAGTGTACTCCAGGCCCCCATAACATTTCTATACCCGCCTACCTTCCCTGTCTGCAGGCTAATTTCGTCTGCTACGTGAATAGTTTAACAAAAACGTTTCTGTGGCATACTTATTTTTTGTTCTCAAAACAAGAAAGTATTAATTCTTCGTCTGAAGCTAATAGTCAGCAAAAAAAAAAAAAATACTGACGTTAAGTTAATTAGTAATAATGAAGAGTTTTTAATTTTTTTTTTCCAATAAAACCTGCTAGAAGTACTATGACTCAGTAGTATGATATCCTTAGAAGTAGAATTTGGAGTAAGTCGCTAGTAAGCGTGAGGGAGAAGTGGAACGCGACAACCTTTCCTACCTTGATTTTAAAATTTGTAGTTAGTAGACGAGATCTCTCATCCGCCTTCTTTTGAGCCTACTACAGATGTTATCGGGCATGTAGGTTGTGGCCATGCCTTGAATCATTGAGTTGGTTTTTTGCGTGTAAGTTATTGTGAAATCATTTATACTTTGTTCGTTAAATGTTGCTATTTGTACGCCATTAGGTAAAGTAACGTTACTGACGTACCAGGGAGCTTTGTTTACAGTTCTGGAAGTTTTTGATTAAGAAGTCTTTAGTTTGCATATGTGTATCTTTTTGGCTGTGCTGTAGTGTAAATACAAATGGAATTAAGTAAGTAAACGTATATATTCAATTTCTATTTAAGTTTTAATTTAGTATACCTTGAAAGGAGTGAGTACACATAAAAAAAAAAAAAATCATACTCCTAAAATAACATCAAAGTAATTTACTAGATACTTTTCCTTCATCTGAATATTTAATAACATCTTTGTTAGTCTGTTTGTATCATTGTAAATATTATTATTTTATTTTTTCACAGCAATTTTCGAACAAAATGAGAGGTCACTAATCTCTAAAATAATCAAAACCTCGATTAAACTACAAATGTAATTGTAAATTATAAATAAATGTAAAATAATTATAAACAACAGTTTAGACAATACATTGACCATTTTATTTTTTTTTTTTTTTAATTCTAACTCATTCCATTTGAATATAAAAAGAAAACATAATTGTATAACATGAAATAAAAAACAACAACTAAGGTGTGTGGTTTAGACCATACGATAGAAGTGAAAACATTAACAACGCGAGATTAATAATATGAAATATAAATTATAAATACTTGCTCATTATACATAGGATGAAATACTGAACATTTCCCTCGCTTGCAGTATGCAAGGTCCGATTTTTAGTTTCTGAGATATTTTAATCCATATCTTCCATTAGCTCATTATCATTTGGTTTTCGAGACTAAACCGCTGCGAATTAAATTAATATGTAAAAAAAAATAATCCATTTTAGTTTGGTTACACATCTCATAAACCTAAAAGAGACCATTGAAGACCCAACTTATAGTGTTTTTTTTTTTTTAAATAATAAAACGTATTTGTTCTATAGTAAAATAAACGAATAAAAATATCGATATGGGAATTTTCGTACGTGGAGTTTACTTACGGTTGTATACGTGGATTAAAAACAAAGTGTATTTATATATATTTTTTGGAACTGTAATTTGAATACTTTTCGATGACTTTTTATTACTCTGGTGCTGGTCGAAAAGTCTTCGAAAAATCAATAGACTTGTACTTGTGAACAAAATAATTCATGACACAAAAAATAAGAAGTATGAATAAAGTAAAAGTATTAAATAAAAGTAAAAAGGAACTACTTTAATTGGTATGACCTATGAGGGAACATTCAATGAAATTGCATTATAAAGAACAAATTGCCAATGGTCAATTTTTTATTTTAACTGTTAGTAACTAACATGTTAAAATTAGTGAATAGATGCAGTAAATATGATTTAATGCTTGAAGACACTACTTCAGAGATGTACAAGTGTCAGAGAAGGAAGTTAAGTAAGCCATTTCAAAGCTGGCATGAGGAATTCATAAATTAAAATGAAAGCAGTAACTCATAAAATAACTTGTTAATTGTTTTTGACCCGTGGCAGTCAAACATAAATAAAAACTGAGTTTTATGCGGTGTCGGCTTTAAAACTAATGATTGTGGGGTTCGCTAATTGTCTTCAGTCACGTTCTAGTCTTTAGCTAGTTCGCATTTCTTTGTAAAGTCCGCAAAAGTTAAAAACAAATAAAAAAAAGTTTCAGACCCCAACTATCCAGGAGTGATGAAAAAATGTTTTAAAAAATTAATATGCAATTATTATATTTAATATAAAAAATTACAAATGTATTTGTCGGTATAAATTTGACTATAAAATAACCTTATACTACAACTTTATGGACGAAATTAGTAGCACAGGAGGCACAGTGATGGACAGGTTGGATTTTAAATGTAAATAATAAGCGTCCTTGTTGAATGAAAGGTTCCAGTTTTTTCTATTGACAACTGTCAATGTGCGAACAAAGTTCCCAAAAGAGTATTTTAAAATGCCTATCATTGTTGTTCTTCTCTTGAGATCAGTGTGTTTCATACCTTCCTATTAATAGTTTTGCTAAGAGTGAGTTGAACAGTCATCTTTATCTATATTTTTATAGTTAAGCAAAAATTTTAAAAATTGTCTGAGAAATGTCAATTACTGGTACCGACCCCCTGTCCATTACTAGAGCAATTGATTTTCGTGGTTTCCATCACTAGTGAAAAACAGTGTTGGTTTTTTTTAAACAGAGATCATACCTTCCTAACTGAACATTATTTCAATTTTAAAGTGTTAAATAGAAAAAGGAGACCATAGAGATTCTAAACGTCATACGGAGTAGTTTATAACTTTAATAATTACAGCGGCATTTTCCTTAGCTATGTCCATCACTGCTGCGCCTACCTTAGATAGAATAATATTTTCAAAATACATTTTAAAGTTTTTCATGCATTCAATCAGTTTTTCATTCTTTTTTTTTTTTAATATGTGGGCCCCATATCAAAATAAATTTTACATAGCATAGTTATGTTCTTTTTTTTTTATTATCAGATACATAATATAAATACAGTATTACAAGAGGCGGTCTTATATTGGTTATATATCGGCTTAGGACAGGACAGAGAGCGGCTGGGAGTATGCAGACAGCCCAGCGCCGTATCGAGCGGTCCAAGCCTCAACCTTTCCGCTCTGACCACGACCCAGTTACGGGAGGTTCAGTCTGTCGCTTCTTGGGGCGAAATGGTTCAACACATTTCACCAACCTGGGTTATCCCTGGAACGTGATACCCGAATATTCAGAGGGTTTTGAGAGGTTGCGTTGATAACCAGCCACGCCTACTCTACACATCTCCCCTCCCACCCCACCAAAAAAAAAAATCGAAAATATTTACGAAGATCTCTTCATGAAAATGCTCAGTCTGTAGAAAAATAAAAAATTGTCTTTAATAACATTCCAGTTGGTACCTCTTTGATAAAAATGAAAACTTTATTAATAAAAAATTGTCAATAGCAGGTCATTCAAATTGTCCAACGCTACTTTTTACCATCTTCAACATTAAATATTCCATGGATTTCGCTCAGGAAAAAAAAAATGCCTTCTGAGGCAATCCAACTATCGACACATTTTTTAGTTTCGTCAAAAGAATGGAAACGCTACTGAGAAAGAACAAGAGTCAGCAATCGGAACAAGTGATAGTCAGGAGGAGCAGGAGTAAATACAGCAGATGGGGCAGGATTTCCCATTTCAGAGTTTCCAAATAAGATTTAACCGAATTTGCAACATTAAGTCGAGTGATATTATAAAGTAAAATTACTTTGCTCGTAATTCGGTCGCTTTTACTTTAGGACTCAGCTCAAACGCATCAATTACAGTCTATAGCGATCTGTGATGGTTTCAGGGCTGAAACAGGTCTTTATATTTTTTTTCATGGCACCTGGACTGGTCATCTCCGAGATCTAAATCATTGTTTTAAAGGCGTTGAAACCATTTTCTACAGGTCAAATTCTCATTGGCTAAGTTTTCACAAGAATTCTATGTCCTTCAGCTGCATTTTTCTTTTGGAAAAAAATATAGTCTGTGAAAACGGTATTGAAGATACATAATTCTCCATGTTTGAAGAGATATAAACAACTCTGTATACAATTTGAGGACTTAAAATAGACTGATAACCCGAGTACAGAGGATTAGCTCTTGAATAAAGTTGGTTTCAGTGTTGCCAGAGAAACAAAAATTCTCTAAATAAGAAAAGACGGAAAATTATTAACACAACCAATATTTTCTGTTCTAACAGATTTAAAGATATTCAAAAAGAAATGAATAATTCATTAAAAAATAAATTAAAATTATAACTAGAGTTTAAAACGAAATAGACCGGCATTTATCTTTTTAATTTTTTTTTAACATGTGATTTTGATCAGGGAAGAGAAATTTCTTTATATATATATACTCTTTATTTCCGGATTGCCTTAGTGAGCCATACACAGCTGTATAAGCAATAAGCATATTTTTAACAGTTGGTAAATTGGGAGTATAGTTTCATACAAAGACACCTCTAACGATACATGATGTCTATAACTATGGACTAGTAAAAATTGTAGAATAGATGAACATTAATACAATAAATAAAGCTTAAGAAAAAATAAAGTAAATAATAATGATAAAATAAAAAATTAAAATAAATTACACAAGGGAAAATAAATTATCTTATGCTTTCGGTCTATGAATAATATGATTTTCATTAAGTGTACTTTATGATAAAAACTGGAATCTATATATTTGCATAGTCAAATACCAATTATAATTTTTAGATAATATTAGTGGAGATACGAAAAAAAATTGCTAGCAAGAATTTAGTCGAATTAGTTAAGATAGAACTTTATGGTTAATATGAGGTCGTTTATGGTCCACGTCAAGATATAGTTCCGTCCCGTCTTGTCCAATAATCCATCATCATTTCGCAGACCACTTTGGACTCATTTTCTATTCATTTGGTTTGATTTCTAGAGTCCTTCTACTTTTTTAAATCTCAATTTTCCTATCCCTCTTTACCATAGTAAAGATTTATTACTTCAGAAATAACCTATGGTCTTCTTATTATTATATAATATCATTAAAAACAAATGATACAAAAGTTAACAAGGAGAATAAGCTATATTTGAAATATTGTTGATATTTGATAAGCAATTGTTTCTTCTCACATATATCTGAAACATTTATGCTGAGAGTTCAATATTAAATTTAAATGAAATAAATAAAATATTTACTAAAAATTTATTATTCCTAATTCCTTTTAAGCCGGACAAAAAGTCTACAAAGTCAGGAGCTGTTAAGTATCTTCTTCATTGGACAGAGGAAGGGGCAGACTTGGGCCCGCAATACCTCGCCGTGATGTGGGATCGCAACCGTGCGATGCTTCATTTTATTGAACTGCATACATATATATACAATATATATATATATATATATATATATATATATATATATATATATATATATATATTTAAAAATAACCATTTAATTGGGAATAAGGTCACTTATTAATTATTTAATAAACTACTGAATGTTCATTTCCTCTAAGTTTATTGATGTTTCGATCCCGGTATTTTTCTTTTTATAAGTTAACAATGGATTTTTAAAACTCTTCAAAGTTTTAAAAATAGAGCTTCGATACCTCAGGCCAGGAACACCGACAGTCTCAGCATCCTCCATCAGCACATACATTAAGCTACTAAATAGCTTTTGTTTATTTTATAGTTTTTGAACATGTAGTGTGAATGCGATCTTACCTCACTACGAACAATGCCCAAGTGACAGAATTTTGTAATATTCAATAAATAAATAAAATAAATTAAATTAAATCAAGCAAATATGCAATCTTTTTAGCCAAAAAAATAATTATTATTTTTTGAAAATATAAAATTTCGAGAACATCTAACAATATCTATCTAATATCAATCACTGCCAATAGACGCTTCCAATTTAAGTAATAGATATTTACATAAATGTGATAAGTGTTGCCCAAATGCGAGACCGAGACGAGTCTTGGTTTGCAAACTCAGTCTTGGTCATGGTCTTGGTCTTGCGCAAGATTCTCGCAACAGTCTTGCAGTTACTTATTATTTTATTATTATAAAGATATTGTTGTAATTTTTTAGATAGGAGAAACTAAACTCGAATGAAAAATTAGAGCAGTTAAATGCAAAAGTATATTAGTTATACCAATTATTAACATATAGTAACTAAGATTGTCAAGTATTTGTAACTATTTTACCATAATTTTTATTTAAAAAATAGATTTTTTTTATCAGTCCTGGTCTTGGTCTTGCAACAGTTAGGTGGCCTTGGTCTTGGTCTTGCAAAGTGCTACCATACACTATGATATATACTAAATGTGATAGTCGACCTCAGCATACTAAAATTATTGACTATATAAGAGTCACACTTTATAATTATTATTATTTACCCTAATTAAAAAAAAAAGATCAGATCAGATCATGAGATTGATGCATCTCCAATATCCGCTCCGCTAACGAACGGATAAAAGCCCCCCCCCTCCTACCGTAGAACCGGGAGCGACAGAACCTGTGTAGGACCCCCTCCCCACCTACTGGCACTATTCCCGCCAGGCTAAGGCTGAGATTTATGCACCAGGGTTATTGGGTTTACATAACGGAGCCGACAGGCTTTATGTAGAACTTGATCCATTAAGTTCGAGGCTAAGTCCCTTAGCAAACTCCAATTCATCCTCTAAATAGAATTAGACAACGCCTTTCCAGGTTAAGTTGAATATGAACAATATCCTGTCCCATATTATACAACTTCACTCCACTGATTAAATACCTCTCAGTAAATTGGTTTATTGGAAAATGTAGAAATTAAAAAAATATATATTTATTATTTTATTATTTACAGCTAAAACGCGTATGCGAAATTCGAAGAATTTTAATGGGCATGTTCAGAGACATCAATGCAGATACCTCGTTTGGCTTTCTAACGCAAGAAAAGTGTATCAAATATTTAAATGTATTTTAACGTTCGATTTTGAAAATATTATTTTATCTAGGGTAGGCGCTTGGATGGACATAGCTAAGGAAATTTTTGTCATTTTTTGGCACATGCTGCCGTAATTATTACAGTTATATACTTTTTCTATTTAGAAGTGTAAATTTGAAAAAATATTCAGTTATGCAGGTAAAATCTCTTTAAAAAAAAAAAACAACACATTTTTGCACTAGTGATGGAAACCACGAAAATCAATTGCTCTAGTAATGGACAAGAAGTCGGCACCAATAATGCACATACCTCAGAAATTTTTAAAAATCTTTGCTTAGCTATAAAAATAACAATAAAGATAATATAAGATAAATGTTCAACTTACTCTTAGGAAAATTGTTAGTATGAAAAACACTGATCTCAAGAGACATATAGAAATAACAATGATTTTAAAATTATCTTTTGGAAGCTTTATTCATACAGTTGTCAATAGAGGGCGCTGCTCTTCAATCTAGAAAAAACTAGAACCTTTAAATCAACAAGGAACCTTATTATTTACATTTAAAGTCCAAGCTGTCCATCACTGGGCCCCCTGTCCATAATTGGTGCCTTCACCCTAGTCTTAATAAGTCATTTCGATTTTAAAGTCTGCAGGAAAAAGATACCAATTTCTGATGTACCATCCATTATTTAGCAAACTAACATAAATTATAAATAGAAAAATCTGGTATGGCGAGCTCATCACACAACTTTCATTTACAACACTATCTTATGTAGAAATAGGTCTTTCTATATGTAGGAAAGTTAAAATTATATACGATATAACATACTGATTTAAAATATTTAATTACCATAGAAAACATAGGGCCGGATTCAAAATATTAAAGGAATAGACGAATTTTAAGATATCATTGCTTGTTACTAAATAACTTTAAAAAAAAAAAATGTTTAAATTAATAAGAAATAAAAGTAGTTCTTTTGTCTAAAATTCTTAGCTTTATTCATAGCATCCACCACGAAACACATTCAAGAAAAATATTCAATATTAGTTAATATATATTTTCATAGCTTCAATATTTCGCCTGAAAACCTTTTTTTTTTTTTAAATTATGTGCAAGCGAAACTAATGTGAACAGTCAAGCTAACGATAAATAACAAAAGAAAAGTGTGTACAGACGTAATTACTTTAAATGGATGAGGATAGGGGCTGTCAACACGCGCGCGCACTTACACACATCATTTTCCAAGACTTAGTTTTTTTTTTTTTTTTAATGTATCACACTATTGTGCTAGTCGGAATTTTTCAAGAACTATTTCATTGATCAGTATCACACAATAAAAGACAATAGTTATAATGAGAAAAGCTCCGCAATTCCAGAAAATATTAATAATACAGTAAATATATAATAATATTGAAAACAAAAATAAAATAAACTTAAAGATAAGTAAAGTAAAATAATATCTTAAACACAGATATACTTATTAACACAGATGGAATTATTAAAATTTGATTTCGTGAACTAAAGAAATAACAAACACTGTCATATATCTTACCACTGATTTTTGAATAATACTGATCCCAACCTAGCACCATTAAACCAAGTACTCACCTGAAACAAAAACAATTACAAAATAAATAAAAGTGGAAGACTACAATTTTTCTATAATACTATAAAATTTAAATTATTAATTAATTATATAATCATATTACATTAAATTTATTACAAAATTAAACATACTTATTTACATTATTTTTTAATTAGTAAAA